TATATTTATACAGACAGAGAACATGAAAAGGTGGAAGTAGCCATGCCAACTGTAAGAGGCATGGCTACTTCCACCTTTTCATGTTCTCTGTCTGTATCTGTATAAATATCTTCTTTCTGTGTGTTCCAGTCTATGCATCCAAAGAAGTGGGCTGTAGCCCACGAAAGCTTATGCGCAAATACATTTGTTAGTGTATAAGGTGCCACAAGTACTCCTGTTCTGTTTGCGGATACAGACTAACACAGCTGCTACTCTAAAAGCAATAAAGGGGAAGCCCTACAGCTCTGCATTATTAATTCAAAACTGACCCACCTGATTTTATCTGTCCAGTCATTATTTCATTTGGAGAGGTTAAACAGTCAAGAGTGTAGAAAGAACCATGAAACTTATTTACACGCAGTCTGGTTCTGTTGCCCAACTCTGTGTAATAACCTTCTACATCTAAACATGCCATTGCACACCATATGATTGCTACCATAGTAGGTGCACTTAAGCATAGAACTCTAGAAATGTTAAAAGAGCTAATAAACAAAACTCCTCCCAGTGAGTACATCATTAGAAATGTGCTCCCGGCAAAGAAGGATCATTTGCCAGGTATGTCTGTTTACATCTGTGTTAGCAGTAACATTGGCCATCAGTTCCCCAAACCTATTTGTTATCTATGTAGATTAGGGGGAGGCAGGGACACATTTTTTCAATAGCCCCATACTAAAAAATGTTGTACAGCCACTAACTCCAGTTTAATAGCCTCACTGCCAGAGTAGAAAAGATCTGTTATTGAAGATAGTTAAGATACAGTTTAACCCTGAAGCAAAAATTAAATAAGCAAGGACTTTCAATCCCAGAATAGCCCTGTTCATTGAAATTAAAGATGGAACAGGATTGAAATACTAGTCCCAACCAGTTACCAACAAAATAGATGTAGATTTTCAAAAAACTTCTTATCTAGTACTGGAAAGGTTATGTCTTCAGTATTTAGTGACATAACACAAAACAACTGCTTGATGTTGCAACAAGTATTGTCTCAGCAGTAGCAATTTCCATAACATGAATAAGAAAAAACACAGAAATACACCTTGTAGTAGAGTAGTGGGAGGAGATCAAATACACTCTTCCTTTTGTTCAGGATTTAGTTCCCCTTCATTCTGGACTTTAATCACAAGATGTAATATGTTGAGAAAATTAATTTTAAGATCTCCAGAGATAATTAACAGGATGTGTGCATAACATTCCTGTGGTAACTCACATCCTTCCATACCGATTTTCTCCTCCCCTTGTTTTTTAATCATATCTTGTTGCATTAAATCTAATTGTCATCTCTTCAGGGCAGGGATATGTCATTTTATTTGTCCATAAAGTACCAGGGTCAGATATGGTGTTACATAAATTCAACATGATAATAAGTTGCTTATCATGTTCTCCTTTTCTGCTGTTTTTCTCACGTGATATCTTAAGGTGGGTTTTCTCTATGTAGTTATCTAACCAAGGCCCTCATGCAGATAGGGTCTGGAGGATCATAAGAACGGCCGTACTGATTCCTAACATCCTGTTTGCTTTTTTGACTGCCTCTGCACACTGCGTGGACATCTTCAGAGAACTATCCACGATGACTCCAAGATCTTTTTCCTGATTTGTTGTAGCTAAATTAGCCCCCATCATATTGTATGTATAGTTGGGATTATTTTTTCCAATGTGCATTACTTTACATTTATCCACATTAAATTTCATTTGCCATTTTGTTGCCCCCACTCTTTCATTTAATGGGAAACAGTGTGATCCAGTAGCTAGGGGATGGGATTGTTACTTGAGAAAACTGGATTTTGTTTCTGGTTGTGCCATGACTGGGCAAGTCACTTAATATCTTTCTATCTCAGATTCCCCATCTATAAAATAAGGATAATGAGTGAAGTACTTCAAGATCTGTGGATGAAAATATACTATTGATTATTTTGGTACAGTTATCTTAACTCAATTGCTTCCCTTTTCTTTTTACAGTCATGCTTCATTTTCCCTGCCTGGGCGCTTGACATATTATGTCAAAAATAAAATGAGTATCCTTGAATAGTTAGTGGATGCTCTTCAAAGTAGCACAGATAATAATGTTATCAGGGGTCACTGTCCTGTTTTTTAAAAGGCTCAGAATCTAATCAGATTAGTTTGGATTTAAATTAGTATCCACGAGTGCATTTCTCAGAGCATGTGTAATAAGAGTTGGACTGATTAAAAAAATTGGCTGGAGTGGTGTGTAGGAAAAAATGGTTATTTTAGAAGGAATGTTTTTACATTGTGGTGTGCTGTAACAAACGTGTTTTGATCCCACTCACTGTGAAATCATTGGGTGTTTTCCCGTTGATTTCAGTGATAGCAGGACCACAGGGAATTACACAGGAACCAGTTCTCTGAGGGTGTGGGTGGTGGAGGAGGGACAATTCCCTCTTTCTCACCCTCTCCCCCCATTTATCGACAGAGTGGAGGAAAGCACTTCAGCCACTATGCCAGACCTGTGACTGGAGAAGGAGCCACGGCACCTTTGTACCCTCTGTGGATTCATGGCTCCTGATTCCATGTAATCACAGACGCCGTGGCCACATATCCCCTAATTTATAAAACAAGTATTTATAAATTATAAACAAGTTATACTATTGTTTATTCTTTTAATGTTTGTGGTGAGACTACTTTAAATAAATAAAACAAATACATTCTCCCACTACATTGTTCCTCTTCTTGTAACTGGCTTGCTAGTATGATATTGCCCAGTTATTTGATTCTTTGTTGTCTGGAGTAATACCTTTCTGAAAGCTTGAATACTTTTTACAGTTGCAGTGATTTATGGTAAGTCTTGTTCCTTCTAATAATGGAATATTCAGGCATATAAACTGTAAGGTATTACTTATACAATTCAGAATTTAGGAGTGTAACCAAGCACATCTGCCTGTCTATACATAATGTCTATGCATTGCAGAGTTTTATGAGATTTACTGTGTGTTCTGTGTCTCTCTCACAGAAAAGTGTAAAGCATGGGACCAAGAGTTGGAAACACTGAACAAAATCTGTTTTGAAACATGTTTTGGGTGCAGGTAACCACAGACCTCCTAACCCTTATCAAAATGTTAAGTATTAAGAAAACATTTCCTTTTCTTTTTCTTATTTCTTAGAAAACACATTTTAGTTCAGTACTTTGTAATAGTAAAAAAGTAAGGGATACCCTATTCAGGTCAATTTTTTGAGCTCTACAATTGACTGTTTTAGAAAATGAAAGGTACATTGCTGTTTGTTTGACCTGAAACTTGATCTGCTTATTTTCTTGCAATTTTTTTAAGTCCATGTAATTCTGTGTACAGTAGAATAATAAGAAAGCATTCTTGAGAAACCCTCCAATAATAAACCAGTATGCATGCACAAAGGAGAAGCAAAACTGGGAAAGGGAACAGGTAACACTTTCAAGCTTCCAAGGGGTTATTTTATAAAGAGTGAGGGAAAAAAATCATTTTTTAAATTGCTAAAAATATTTTGGCACTGGCTTTTTTTTTTTCAATTAACTTTTCATATAGAGAAAGAGAGGGAGAGTGAGTTCAGTTCACTTTAAGAAATATCCATTTTGTTAGTCACTTACTGTAATCTACTGTACAAACCATTTGTGTTTTGTAATGTAACTCAGATTAGGTTGTTAAAGCACAGGTATTGTACCTACATATTGTAGATAGTGTTCATCTCACAAATTTGCCAAAATGGGACCATGTCTTACTACTGAGAAAATAGACAGGAGAGCATTTTAGAAGCATATTAAACCCAAAAACATTTTTTTTCTTACCTTAGGTGGTTAGGTCCTCCTATTGTTTCTACCTCTTTTTGAGGCCTGAGTTGGAGGACAGTGCTTCTTGTCTATGTAATCCCTCTAATGGGACACATTTTCTTTTTTCTTCTCTCTTTTTATAAAATTCCTTTCGTTTTCTCCATTTCTCGTTTGTTTCTTTTTCCCCGCCACCACTTTCCTTCCCTACCAGGAATTCCCCCCATGTCCTCCACCCCAAAGTATTTCTAGTGTTAGATGCAGCAGCAGTTCTAAGATCTATTACTAAAAATACCATGAGCGCTGGGCACTTACTGCTACTGGCGCTAATATTGATCCTTGTTGAAATACTACGTCATGATCAGCAACTGTCCTAGTACTGGGAGAAAAATTGAGTCAGAGGACGACTGTGGCCCAGATCCTAAAAGATATTTAGGAGTTGGATTCCTATTGAAGTCGATGTGTATTAAGCTCTGAAATACCTTGGAGGATCGGGCCTAGGTACCTAAGGCATGCTCCAAAATATACTTTTGATGGAGCACTGCCTAAAGTTAAGGTAGCATGGGGATTTTCATCCTAAGGGGTCATTTTCAGAGGCCTATCAAAACATATCTTTAGGGCTGAAATTTGGCACATTTGTTCTAAGCCGAATAGTGAATATTTTGGGAAAGTCTGCACAAAAACAGCTCAGCTGGTTTGAATTAGGAAGATTGTGTGGAAAAAAAATACAATTTTGCTATCATAAAAAAAGATTGGTCAGTGTAAAAGAAGTGTTTTGCTACTAGCTCCAAGGATCTAGCCCAGCATGTTGTTATGTATCCCTCTATAGATATGCAAAAGGAGAGAGAGAATATATGTAATGGTTTATAGGGCATGATGAAGTTTTTATTGCCACAAATATACATTCTTATTGCTCATGAATGGTGGAGCTCACTGAAGGGAGCAGGAGACTGGGTCTGTTTCTCCTTGGGACTTATACCAGTGTAAATCATGAATCAATAGAAGTACTCTGGGGTAAAACCTGGGTGAGAAGAGAATTAGGCCCTATATATGATGACTAATTGTTAGATCTCATTGTAAGAACCTCTGCTTAATATAAGGGAAAAGATATTCCGGTATCAGCTAAGCCTGTTCACTCAGCCCTCTAGTGGGTATAATAAACGATGGAATAACAGAATTTTTAGTCTCTTCCCATTTTCCTAAACATGAACCCATTAAAGTCATTATTGGTGTAATTGCATTAACTTTGAAGTGACAGTTTGCATGAATTTGGCCACTGCTTTTAAAATTACTTGTTACTAATATGACTTGGCCTGACTAAATTACTTTTGTGGAATTTGAATTCTGAGGATGGTATCTGTACAGTTCTTTTCTAGGCATGCCTCTGTGCAGAAGATTTTAGCAATAAGCTGTGTAACCAGACGCACTTCAAAATCAGTTAAACATGGCCGGTCTGTGTGTTTAAGAAGCATTTTCTTTAACTCTGTCAAATACTATCCCACTAAATTAGTTCTGGGAATTGAAACTAGTTGTGATGATACAGCAGCTGCTGTGGTGGATGATACTGGCAAAATCTTAGGAGAAGCTTTACATTCTCAAAATGAAGTCCATTTAAAGTAAGTAGACATTATCATGGGTGCTTTATTTTCTAAACTGCACTTGTAGTTTAATATGATTACTAATGCGAGTGTCATTTATATTTGTCATATTCTATCAAGGGGCAGGTTCTTAAGTCTTAAGAAATATGAATTGGTTCTGATGATCAAATTTGGTAAAATTCCCCACACCCACCAATCCTGAAGAGTATGTTATTTGTCTCCAGTTTTGGACAAAGGTAAATTAGAAAATGGACATTCCTTGCTAAATTCCTGATGACAGAGAGGGGTTGCAGATACCAACTCCTATAAATTGTCTTGGCACAGCCTAGGGCTAAATTCAAATGGGGCATAAACTAAGCAAGAGCAAGTTGAATCCTTGTATAGCCTTCCATTGGAAGTGATGGTAATCTTCACTGCATGGGGCATTTTAAATAGGACTAGACAAAGCATTTGAGACTATACTGTAGAGAACAGTCATGACGTGGCAGGACTACCAAGTCTTTTCCATCTCTCATTTCTATGATTCTGTCTCTCTCATAAAATATGGACACTTCATAATTCTTTGTTTCTAATTAGAACAGGTGGGATTATTCCTCCAGTGGCACAGCAACTTCACAGGGAAAATATTGAGCGAATAGTAAAAGAAACACTCTACGTCAGTGGAATCTCTCTCGATGAGCTCTCTGCTGTTGCAACTACTGTAAAGCCAGGACTCGCTTTAAGTCTCGGAGTGGGATTAGAATATAGTTTAAAATTGGTGGACAAGTATAAAAAACCTTTCATCCCCATCCATCACATGGAGGCACATGCACTTACAATTAGGCTGATAAACCAAGTGGAATTTCCTTTCTTAGTTCTTTTAATCTCTGGAGGCCACTGTATCCTGGTAGTAGCACAAGGAGTTTCAGATTTTCTTCTGCTTGGACAGTCAATTGATATAGCACCAGGAGACATGCTCGACAAGGTAATATTTCAGTAGTGATTCAATTATGCATTTTATACAAGTACTTACATTTGTTGTATTATTTACATCATAGTTTGTTTCTTATAGTAGCAAAAGTAGAGGTATGTATTCTTTAGGAAACTGGGATTCTGGCATTGCCTTGGGTAAGAATTTGTGTAAGCTTTAGAGCAGCTAATGTTCTTTCCAGCAGTGGAAAAACAGTGGAATCCAGTAACAGGTAAGGTTAATAACTTGTGTAGACCAGTCCTACTCTCTGTCTTTTATTAGCAAATTTTTATATTTGTGCACAGACCCTAGATGGATACGTTAAATAAATCTGAATAAATTAATTTTTAAATATTCCCTGCTTATAAAATGGGCATTGTTAAAGGAAGGATCTGATTTGGCAGGTGTATATTTAAACTCTGTGAATTTTCATTGTAACCACAGAGGTTGGAACAAGTTAGCCAGTATGCTTTCTAGAATATCACCTACGGTCAACATAAAGAAAACAGTACAATACACTATAAACTTTAATTTTTTCCTCCAATTTGAAATACACCTCTACCTCGATATAACGCTGAGCCAAAAAATCTTACCACGTTATAGGTGAAACCGCATTATATTGAACTTGCTTTGATCCGCCGGAGCGCTGCTTTACCGCCTTATATCTGAATTTGTGTTATATCGGGTCGCGTTATATCGTGGTAGAGGTGTACTAGAGATTTCATGGGCTCAGCGGCTATTAAAATCTATTCATTTTATTTCTTTAGTTGGCACTAGTTGTTTTCAGCAGGCAGGTAGCCATAACCTGGATGGCCAGCCTACATTGAGGCTGGACATAGAAAGTTCAACAATATATGCAGTACAAGTGAATCTGACTAAGACTAACAGTGATATTTAAAAGGATGCTATTGTTTAAAATCATGTTTGATTTTTTTTAAATGTCCTTACTTATGTTACTAATTGTGCCTGAGAGAGTTTGAAAAGTCTAGTTTATGTTTCACAAGTTATATTGTGTTGGTCACTGAATAAATAAACTTAAGCTGGCCAGTTTCTGTTTCTTATTCATTCTCAAGCACTAGCACAGGTTTGCAAGGAAATTTTTAAAACAAAACAAAAATTTAAAATTTTTTAAATCCTTTCTATTAGTGTTAACTTGGCAGTCTAATATACCTGTGAGTGTCCATTTCAAACAGAATAAGAATTAGATTCTTCGTGTTTCTTGCAAAGTTTGAGGATCCTCATATTCACCCAGTTTATTATAAAATTGGATTTGATGTTAAAAGCCCTCTAACGTTAGCTGTAGCATCTATCATTGGTACTTTCATCATAGCACCTAGTTCACAATATATAAACTCTGGGCCAAATTCATCCTTAGTGTAACTCCATTGACTGGAGTTATAATGGAGCAGTGCAGTTACATCAGGGATTAATTTCGCCCTATTTTTCCCCAATTCTTCTTTCCCAGTCTATTGTTAGCATAATTAGATTCTTTTCTCTTTTTCTAGGTAGCAAGAAGACTCTCTCTAACAAAGCACCCAGAGTGCTGCAGAATGAGTGGTGGGAAAGCTATAGAGCACTTGGCCCAACAGGGAAACAGGCTGCATTACGAACTCAGAGCTCCCATGCGACATCATCGTAACTGCAATTTTTCCTTTTCCGGACTTTGCTTCAATGCCACTAGAATAATTATGCAAAAAGAAAAGGAAGAAGGTATTTTTCAAAGTAAGATACATACGAATTGTACACCTGACCTGCGGTTATATTTGCAAAAACCTCTTTTGCTCACCATTTCTGCAGGTTTACAGGAGGGACACCTCCTGTCCTGTGTTACAGATATTGCTGCTGCAGTACAGCATGCAGTAGCACTTCATATTGTCCAGCGAACACACCGGGCTATTCTATTCTGCATAAAAAGTGGCATCTTATCACAAACAAATGCAACTTTGGTAAGTACATATAACTTTACTATGCATGTCAAGGGGTACATGCTATCATACATTTGAATACATGTAACAGCACCAGGAGAAAGTGCAGCAAGGCATCAGCACCGTCCTTGACATTTCCACTGATAATGCTGCTCCAGCATTAAAATAAATGCATGTGATACATTTAGTTGAACCTATAAAAATAAATAAATCCTGCTGCAACAGAGTGTACAGTTGTAGTCCTGCTTTGAGCAGGGGGTTGGACTAGATGACTTCCTGAGGTCCCTTCCAACCCTGATATTCTATGAATTGTAGTTCTGTGAATAAAAGTGCATTGTTAAAGGTAAAGTAATTTTAAAGTTTTCTTACATGTCTGTATTTTTCTTGTATATATTTAGATGTATTAGGAACATCTAGCCACAACTTTAACATCTTTTACCCCAAACAATCTCAAAGCATTGTATAAAGTTAACTAACTGATATGAAAACTACATGTAGGGATAGCATCATCCTCCACTGAAATGCAGCCATCTCTGGGTGAAACACATCATTTGTTTCAACTGTACAGAGCAATACTAGAAAGCAGTTTAGGAGAGGAAGTGAGAATAATATATCAAGCTAAAATTTCAAGGGGAATTTATAGGTAAACAGAATATGATTAACCAAGTTTAAATTTGCCCAGGACACTAGGATTAACACCTTATCTTGTAAAAAGTACCGTGAGATTTTTAATTACTCATCCAAAAGAGAGTACCTCCAGCAGAACAGTACCCTTTCTCTCCTCCCGTAGTTCTATGCTGGGACATTTAATAAGCATTGATTTAGAGGGGAGAGTGGCACCTATTGAATTGCCAGCACTACTTCCTTTAGTACCTTGCTTTTCCTTGTAGCTTTCCTCTCCTAGTCTTGACATGATTCAACTCTACTAAATTTGTGAAATCTGACAGCCCAATGTGGTATGCTGCAGGGTTTTGCAGGGGTACTGTTTCAGAATTCTTCATTTATAGTTACTCTCTCACATTTTGTCTTAATAAATTGAGGGGAAAAATAATCTCTCTTAATCATCACACTGTTAATGCTACTAGGCCATGCACTTCTGTTCTTGTAATTGTTCAATGATGATTAAAGCTTTATGAAATACAGTGAAAAATTTTTAAAGATTTTTGTGAACATGAGAAAAGATGTCTGTTAATTAACTTAATTTTATAACTTGTGGTTCAATTTTTTTCATATTATTCAGTTATACTAACCTCTCTTCAATAAGATAACTAGAGCTTGTTAGAAAATAGGACACTCTTTCATGAAAGTTCTCCTCTGCTTCCCTGCCCCGCCCCCTTGGCCTTTTTCTTGAAATATTTAAAAAACTTGAATTTTTTGGACTAACTCTAAAGGTAAAAAGTGTAGTTGCTATAAAACCTTGGAGATTACTTACCTTTTTACCTTTCTATGTATTATAGCAACTTAATTATAAGTGAAAAATGTCTAAATTAAGCATAATAAATGGTTATATGCCAAATTCAATAAAACTTCCAATAATATTCTCCACTGTACAAGGACATACATGTCCCAGAAAGCAGAATTTTCAAGGACTTCTACTATTGGATGCATAAAAAGATGACAACTTTTAATTGACTCTGGATGTGTGATCCTAGAATTATGTGATTTTTTTTTTTTTAAGGATGGTGTCTTTGCCTGCTACATAGGACCAGAAAGTCATCTTTAACAGCTAGCATTTTTACAAGACACTTAAAATATATATATATATTAAAAAAATAAATAATTTCATAGACTCATTTTAATTAGATTCCCAGCACACAGGAGCACTGATCCTGATTGAGAACTCTGTGCACTATTTAATAGAAATAATCATTGCATGTGGATAATCTAATCCATTGCTAAATCATCCCTAATACATGGGTATTAAGTCTAGCCTTGAATATATAGTGATGATTACATGGCTTGCTTTTTAGCATTTTCTCTAATAACTTAAATGTGCCATGTTGCAATTTACACCCATTACTTTTGTTCTGTCCTACTTGAATAACGTGATTAAGGCCAGCTGGGACCATTATGATCATCTAGTCTGACCTCCTGCATAACAGAGGCCCTAGAATTTCACCCAGTAATGCCTGATATTTGATAGTTGCCCTACTTACACATCCTTTACGTGCTGTATTTATAGATAGTAATATCTGTTCAGTAATCTTTTAGGCCTGCTCTACACTGCCGCTTGTAAGTTACCCCCGAGCGACGTAGCTTACATCGACCTAATGCAGGATCTACAGTGCACTATGTTGGTGGGATATGCTTTCTCACCAGCTTAGCTTCTGCCTCTCGGGGAGGAGAGAGCACTCTGCCATCAACTTATCACATCTTCACCAGACCCAATAAATTGACGCCACTGCATCAATCGCAAGCCCTTACTAAGACTACAGACACCCAATTCTCTTATCCTTTTCTATTCTATTCTATTAGGTCTTCATTTCCCTATTTATTCTCTTTGAAATTAGGGGTATGGAACAGCTTTCCCCAGGACATTTCACCTTGGAAAAGAGATGACTAAGGGGGGGAATATGATAGAGATCTATACAATCTTGATTGGTGTGGAGAAAGTGAATAAGGAAATGTTATTTACTTCTTCACATAGCACAAGAACTAGGGACCACCCACTGAAATTAATAGGCAGCAAGTTTAAAATGAACAAAAGGAAGTACTACTTCACACAACACACAGTCAACCTGTGGAACTCTTTGCCAGAGGATGTTGTAAAGGCAACAATCATAACAGGGTTCAAAAAAAATGTAGATAAGTTCATGGAGGATAGGTCCATCAATGGTTATTAGCCAGGATGGGCAGGGATGCAACACCATGTTCTGGGTGTCCCTAGCCTCTTGACTACAAGAAGCTGGGAGTAGATGACAAGGGATGGTGATTACCCATTCTGTTAATTCTCTCTGCAGCATCTGACATTGGCCACTGTCCGAAGATAGGATAGTGGGCTAGATGGATCATTGGACTGACCCAGTATGGCCTTTCTCATGAATTTTCTTCAATATCTTCATCAAGCTTTTTGTTGATGCAGCACTATCAGCTGTTCCTTATTTGTTTACCTTTTGAATGACTTTTGCCTGTCTTTCTAAAATTGTTGTCAGGTTGTATCAGGAGGAGTTGCAAGTAATCAGTATATCCGAAGAGCTCTGCAAATTGTAACAGATGCAACTAACTTCAATTTGCTGTGTCCTCCTCCCAGACTCTGTACTGACAATGGTGTTATGATTGCCTGGTGAGCAAAGACTGTGTTTCTATGTTGTTGTTTTTTAAATGTTCTATAAAGCAGTGGTACAACGTGAAAAACCAGTTGCCATAATTGTGTAAGAATTTCTGCTTATTGTGGTTAAGCCATGTGTCATCCAAACGAAAAGACACATTTGTATGTTAAGTATGAACTGCATTTTACATTTATGTTCTCTATTTAGGAATGGCATTGAAAGGATGCGTGCAGGCTTAGGTGTGTTACATAGCACAGATGGCATACGCTATGAACCAAAGTAAGTGGCACAGCTCCTACCAATCCATTTTCTCGTATGGTCACATTGAACTTTAACTTCCTTCAGTCATTTTAATTTAAGCCTCCTTCAGTTACACAATCAGATTTTATTATGTGAAACTTCTTGTGATCCAGTTGTGCTTTTTAAATATCAGTAACTTTTCACTACAATTATATAAGATACAAATAATACTTAATACTTATTTACCCCTTTTTGGGCATAGATCTCAAAGCACATTATGAAGTTGGATAAATATCATTATTCCTATTGTAATATGGGGAAATTCAGACACGAAGAGGTTAAGCAACTTGCATGGTCATTCAATTAATTGGTGGCAGAGCCAGGAATAGAACTAGAACTCAGGCATTCTGTCTCTGAGCTGTCCTATGCACTGAACCCTGCTGCCTGTTCATGATCAGCCATCCAGTGCTAAATTCAGATTGGGTTTACATTCCTGAGATGGAATATCTGTTGGTGGAGGCTGCAGTGGCACACAGCAGTCCCAACCTATTTTGCTCTAAGGAGCTGGAGACAGGCCAGCACTTTTCCAAAATTGGACAGAAGGCATGTGAAGGATATGTTGACCTCTCAGCTGCCTCTTCCAGTGGGGATGCTGACAAGCCTGAGCCATTAAAAAAAACAAACAAAAAAAGGCTACTCCCCAGCATCCTGATGGGAACCCTGAGGGATGGCAGCAGTAGACACCCTCTCAGCAAAGCCACACTGTGCATCAGTCTGGCCCCAGGTCTTTAGACAAAGTTAAAACACTGCTTCTTAACCAGAATCCCTTTAATAAAATAACATTTGATGTAGAAAAGTCTGATAATATAAAATACCTCTACTGCACTTTACAGACATTAGTATCCATGGCGTGGCCTGTTTTATGAGCTTATGTAGGTTTTGGAAGGAATGGAAGTGGGGTTGAATTGAAGCAAAGTGTTTGGGAAACTCTGGAGGTTCCCTATTTTTAAAATGCTAATTGTGATCTGTATTATTATAAAATAGGTGTTCATCTTTTCCCCTTTCCTCAATAAAAACAGACATTTTGGGAACTTCTCAGAAAACACAGATTTGCAGTTTTCCCATAGAACAAAAATGTTGGAATGTCATGCTCCAGAGAGTACTTATGTAAGGCTTCATTCATTAAAAAATAAGGATACCTTATTTTGCTGCAATCCCACAGAACAGATAAATTGCACAGGAAAATACTCTTGTGAACTTCTGCTATATCTTGCATTCACAAGTGTTAGCAATGGGATGCAAACTGCGAAATCTCAACTAGCATCAAAGTGAAAAAGAAAAGCAACTTTCTGGAGGGAAAACAACCACCACCATAGCCAGAGTTCATCTCTTCTGCTATGTTCCAGGTTCCAGTTCAGACTGTAGTGTAATCTCTTCAACTAGGAGGTAGGGATAGAAACAACAAACTCTTGGAAGCGGCTGTAAGTAACTTGAGCCCTTCTAGTTTGCCTCAGTAGCTGTTTTCTCTCTCCAGAAAGTCAGGGCAGACAAGCTGGTTCAGTAATGCTAATAAATTTGATATGATTTGACCTGGCCTGTTTTTTTCCCTTTCTTAACACTATGAATTTGTGTTTTCCAGCTGCTGTTCTCCTTTATATTGGATATTCAGTATCTTTACTAGACCCTCACCCATACTTATAGCCATTTGTTCACAAGTTGTTGTGTTTCTTATTTCTTTTGACCTTGATTATTCTCTGGCTAGCTGTCAAATACCTTTGGCCAGTTGCTCATTTCCCTTCCAACTGTATATTCAGCCTATTTTAAACGAGATTAACCATATCTTGAAAATTTATTTGTCTGGCAGGAGCTATTATTATGCCACTTGCTTTTTTCTTAAATCTCATTCAGTCAAAAATTTTAAATTGAAACTAGTTGAAACCCTTCTTGTTTAAGATGTTTGCAGTGTTTTATATTCAAAATTCCTCACTTCAGTTAGAGGAGATACCCTTGGGAGGGAAGCTAAGAAAATATTTCTCCTTTAGAAGGAATTTGCTTTTCTCCCCCATTCGAAGCACATTGGGGCCACTTCAGCAGTCAGGGATACTCAGGGTATAAGGAAAGTCCATGCTCCTTTTTTCCTGTGCTGGCTGCAGGAAGGAGTTGGTAGAGGAACTTCTATGCCAGCTCTACACAACTGTGGGATCCCTCTACCCTGGGGTAGTCCTCCCGTGACTGGACAGGTCAGCTTTATTATTTGCAGCACATATATGGGTTAATTCTGAGCCCATTGATATCTATGGAAGTTCTGCCATTGTCTTCAGTGGAACCAGGATTTCACCCCTGGTGTAACACTTACCCCTGACATAAGCAGGGACAATTCTCATTGACTTCAGTAACAGTGCTGTCCCTTTAATTTCTTGGGCTGAGGTTTGGTTCATTTTGCTAACAAAAAGACTGACTTTTGAAAGGACTCACATTTCATGTTTCAAATATGAGGTGAGAGATAAAAGCCTAAATGCAGAGAGATTACATTTCTGGGCTGGAGATAACATGTTTCTTGTTCTGGGCAGATCATTTGTGTTGAGACACTTCGTAGACAGTACTGAGCTATTCATATGGAAGGAAAGAACCTGCAATACTTTACTCCCTGTCACTGGTGAAGGGGAATGCTATAAAAACATTATGGGTTAGGTGGAACTCGTGTACATCATCATGCTATGAACAAGGAAACTCTTTCATAAAAGGGAAGTTGGACAAAATAAGATATAGAAGGGGCTGTATAGATTTACAAATCTTCATTGTCTGTATAAAGCTCACAAGAGTCAAGCACCAAATACTCTCTCATAATGCTGAATACTTTAAATAGGTAGCTTCATAGTTGAGTAGATGTGTAACTTTATTACCGTAATTATAAAAAATCGTTTGTTAAAAAATAAATAATACAGTGCTTGTTATATTATAGAGCTTCTCTTGGAATTGATATCTCAGAACAAGTTGGAGAAGTTGCCATCAAGGTACCAAGTCTAGAAGTCTCCCTAAATGAACTTGCAACTATCAACTTATAACACATCCAGTTTGGGAATTATTGTTCATGGCTATTATTAAAATATTTATGTTTCCTAGTCTTCTCTTACTAAGACATATCTGACCAATGTAAGCACCCTTATGGGCAGCTGTGCTATTTAGTAGTTAAAACAGGGAGCTGGAAGTCAGGAGAGTTATTCTATTCTTATATGCCATTGACTCCTTGCATGACCTTAGACTTATGTCCCTTATTTTTCCCATGTGTAAAATAGGAATAATTTAATAGTGCAATCATTACCTTTGGAAAGCACTCAGTTAAAGATCTCTAGATAAATAAAAACTATCAGCCTTAATTATTATTAACTATATACTCAAATATCCTTTTGTAACACAGAACAACGTTTTATAGAGGCAAATTTTCATAGCACTTCAAGATTTTGGCTACATGAGTCCATTGATCTTAAAACTCGGCACAACATTTTAAAAATGTACCCATAAGAGTGGATATAGATTAGTCTGAGAGTGCCTATCTGAAGATAGAAGATGCAAGTATGTGTAGCAGCTATTTTGCAGCTCTTGTATCTAGTAACAGAAGACATTGTCTGATTAGAAATAGAAGCTTAAATTCACCAAAATATAAAACAACCTGCACACAATAGCCTTCATTGATGCCCATGAGTGATGAATTTGAAATTATTTTCAATGCATTTATTCTTTACTACTGCAGTAAATTTAATTCTTCACAGACAGACCGCCTCCTTCCATCCCACACACAATTCTCTTGTGAAAAGAGTTCAGGTTTCCAAAATTAGGCGTCTGTGTATTAGCAACTGGCATCAAGAAATTCTGTTCCGAAAGACTATTCCCAAACCTACAGGATATTGCATGGATACAAATACTTATCTGCTACATTGTTTGCACTGGACTCAAGCTTTCTTTCCTGGTGAATTAAGCCGGAGCTTGCTGACATTAAAAATTCTTGGTCTTGACACTTTTGTGATGTCGGAAGTTGCATGTGCAAATGATTGAAGTCCACTGGTCCGGCTACGGGGTTTGTCTGTAGTTCTGAGTTTTCCCATTAAGTGAGCAGATATAGGCATTAAAAGAAGAGAGTCCTTTGGATGATATTTAGCTTTGAATTGTCTTCTACTACTACTACTTCGTGATCTCTCTGCAAAATAAAAATAGTGTAATTTATTTTACATTTATATCATCAGCAGACTATTGAGTATATGTCCTTGAACACTGTGACCTAGCAGATTTGTGGCTTTTTAAAAAAGAGAAGACCATAAAGTTGAGGCCAACCATGACAAATAGTAAGAATTTTACATTTGTAACAGAAACTTTTATATGCTCCTTACATTTACCTATACTAACTAATTAGCTAAATTAAAAAATTGAGAATTCTAACTAGTCATCTGCCCACAGTTTCAAAAGTTAGGAAATGGCATATAGTACATGTAGCCTCATTATGGAGGTAATTTCTAAAAAAAGTTAAATGTATGACTAAGAAAAAAGTTAATTGTCTTTTGAGGAGTGTTTCTGCAGATCCCCATTCTTGGGATGTGTTGATAGCTAATTAATTAATTCATCTGTGAACTTCAAAGTAAGTTAAATACATTATATACCTTTAGTATAGGTTGGAACTGCAGGTGGTCCTCCATTTATCACCAAACTGTAAATAAAATATTAACAAGTTAGGAATTCATGGTCGTTAAAGCACTCCGGTTTTTCCTTGGCCTAATAACATGAAGGCTCTGGGTATTTTTTTTAAAAATATATTTTCAGCATTTCTTATGAACTCACAGAACTCAAATGAGTTTGATTTTTAACTAATCTCCACTGATAAACTTATTTGATTTTTGGCCTATAAACAAACATATGATTCTCTTTAAGCACATGAGTAGGCCCTTTGAAGTTAATACCTTTATATCTAGGCATATAAGCATTTTTAAGATCCCAGTATCAGAAAAAGTTACAAATACTTCTTAATTACTAATTTAATACCTCAGTTTGTCTATAAAATCAATATAATAATGATCTTGCAGAGATGTTGAGACTTAACTATTGTTTGCAAAGTGGTTTGAGATTCTCTAACTAAAGCTGCTTATCAACTGTTGTAAGAATTAAAAAAAAATGTAAACCCAAAGGATAATTAAGAGGGTGCTCGTTAGACTCCTACGTGGACATGCTGATATCTATACGGATTCTCGATGCTTCTGGCCCATGTCACTTATTATAAGAAATATGATTCAGTATCCTTTTTATACATCTTTGTAAATTTAACAAAAAAATAAAATCAAGGAAGTATATCAATAAAACTAAACTCCCATCAATATTACTAAAATAAACTAAGCAATACTATTATCAAATCAAGATCAAATAAATAAATTAGTAATATTGGATTAAAATCAAATTTTCAGATTACTTATATCATCAGATTGATACAACAAATAATCAAACCTGATAAGTCCTAAGAAGTATTTTAAGGAGGTTAGCTGTCTGTTTAGTTACAAACCCCCAACTAAAGAGTTTTACCAGAGGCAATGAAATATTAATTTAGACTTAGATGAATATTTTATACTGAAACCAAATTATTGTTTAACGTCTACACCACAATCTCAAAACCAATTAAATTTATGTTTCAATTCTTACGTGGTGGATAACCCCTTACTTCCCACCTCCAACAACAGATAAGAGGCCTTAATAGAACATTCTGATAAGTAGGAGTTGTCAAACTTCTGATTAACAGTTTACAACTGGAAATTTTAAGTTTCTTAGGACACTTACACAGAATACAGAACATAGGTATTTTTCTGAGGCAAAGTTTAGAGTTCTTTAAACCTAATGAGTTTTCTTTCTGATGCCTTCTGTGTGTGGATTTTACAGGTGCTCATGCACACAAAATTAAAATAAATAAATAAATAAATAAAAGGCTGGAACTTTCCCCAGCAAATAAAAACAAAAAGGGGGAAAAATATTAAATACTTAAGAGAATGGTGTTTGTGAACTCTTAAGATCTCACAATCTTCTGGATTTTTCTGACATAGAAGCTAGAATTGCAGATGAGAAGCCAGAGGATAATGTTGCTGGCACAGTACCAGTAGACTTTCAGGTACAGGAAGACTCGTCAACTGTTAATTGGTGGTGTGATTTCCTTCCTCAGAGGTGAAATCTTGGAGTTCTGGAACATCAGTCTTCCCTCAGATAGCCTGTTGACCTAAAAGGAGCAAAGGCTCTTGGCCTTACGCTTGATTTTTCTGGTTTACGATTTTTACTTACCCCACCTTACAGCAACTTCCTTGGAGATCTTCAGGCAAATCAGGTATAAAATACACCTTGGATTCTGACAGCATGGTCTAATCAGGTCAAAGTTAGGTAACATTTAGGCTAACATCAGTTTGTAAAGGTCCTGCTTAACCAAGCAGTTCTTTTTAAAAAAAAAAATTAGTTGAGGTGTTCCACATGCACTGTGAGTCCATGATACTCTAAAATACATATAGATATAAAAGAGACACAAGACCACTTCAGAGGATGTTAACATTCCTCTGCTGAAAAGGTCTTATGCTGGCATCAACATACAGAAAGTGGGCCTCATAGATAACTGATTGCAAAGACCTTAGCAAACACAGAAGCCACTCAGCATGTATCCATCAGCATTCAACAACATTAAAAATAAATGTGGACATCTTATGACCGGATGCCCTTTTTTTTATTTTTGAAAACAAGACAATTTAGCAATCTTTATCTACTAGGTTATAAATCATACAGAAAAGATTACTTTAAAGCTTACCAGATGGAACTGATTTACAATAAAAAATAAAGTTTAAACAAGGTTTGTATTCTCTTACTCACTCAAAATATGATATTATGGGTGTTACAGAGTTTTATGGCCACTTTTAAAGGAAGATCGGTATGATTCAACTACAGTTCTATCACTCACTAATAACATCTAAAACTTACAGATATGCACTTTATAGTTCCACACCATAAATATATGCATAAGATGGCAAAAGTCCCATTGACATCAATGGGAGCAGAATTAGGCCAGTAATTCCCCCTCTCTGTCTGATGAGAAGGGATTTGAATAGGGGTTTCCCACCTCTCAGGTACGTGCCTTAACCACTGCACTATAGAGCCATTCACTTGCTCTCTGATCCAATTAATATTTATTTCTACAAAGTGGAAATGCTTGAATAAGAGATTGAGGAGTATTCTGAGGTAGATCTCTCAACAGGCAAAGGGGGGAATTAAACTGAGGTCTCCCACTCAGGGCCCGGTGGAAGGATGTTTCGCGCCCTAGGCGAAACTTCCACCTTGCGCCCCGTCCCCGAACCCCCGCCCTGAGGCGCCCCCCCCCCCGCAGCAGCTCCCCACCCCTCATCCTGAGGCAAACCCCCCCCCAGCTCACCCCTGCCCCGCCTCCTCCCCGAGCATGCCGTGTCTGCTTCACTTCTCCCACCGCCCAGGCTTGTGGAGCCAATCAGCTTAGGCGCCGCAAGCCTGGGAGGCGGGAGAAGTGAAGCAGCCACGGCGTGCTCGGGGAGGAGGTGGGGCATGGGTGAGCTGGGGCGGGGAGTTCCCCTGCGTGCTGCCTCCCCCCCTTGCTGCAGGCGGCCCTCCCCGCGCTCCACTGCCCCAGCCCCCTCCGCCTAAATGCCAGCAGCGACCAGGGCAGCCGAAGATCCGGCCACCACGGTCGCTGCCGAAGAAAATGGCACCCCCCAAATCGCAGTCGCCTAAATGGTTGCACTGGCCCTGCTCCCACTTCCAGGTGAGTTTCCCAATCGCTGGTCTAAATGTATAAGGGAGGCCTCCTCTCCCCATCCCACCCATCCCCACCTATGTTGTGTGGAATGCTCAGAGCAAGGCCTATTAGACTGAGCCCCACAGGCCAGATAAGCAGGGCAATACCTGTCTTCACCTGCTTTGATGTTTGTGCTGTGGCTTATGAGATAGATGCCTGAGTGCCTGCCTGAAGCAACAGTGCACATGCCCAAAGGCAGCCTCTTAGGTGCTTAGGAAACTGTTACAGCCAAAATTTAGGCTCTGAGTGCATTTAGGAACCTACGGAGTTAGGTGGCAGCTAAACTAGGGTTTTATGGATTGCAGTGGCACCTAAATCTGGGGTTTAGGTGCCTACGTCCCTTTGTTGATCTGTGTCCCGTTCCTGCTTTACTCCTGGGGCAGTGCAACTACACAGTGTCTCTTAGGCCAGATTGTAGTTACAATCCAGCCCACAGTGCCACTTTACCACCTTAAGTGTTATACACAATACACACAACATAATTTTACAAATTCCTCATTAGATAAATAGAACGCTGAAGGCAATTTTTCCCCACTTGTTCTTAAGGTCCCAATCCTTCAAAGTACAGAAGGCACTGAGAACCTCGTAACATCAGGCCTCTATCTGTTTGGCAGCTATTAATCTAAGTCTCTTTAGACACAGATCATTATATTAAAGTATTTACATTAAAAACAAAAGTTAGTGTGATGACAAGTCATCACTTTTAGTATCAGAAACATACAAAATTAACACCAATTACAGAACACTTAGCTAGTTCGACTATCTTAACGATGCAACCGAAGAAGTGGGCTGTAGCCCATGAAAGCTTATGCTCAAATAAATTTGTTAGTCTCTAAGCTGCCACAAGTACTCCTGTTCTTTTTGCGGATACAGACTAACACGCTGCTACTCTGAAACCTATCTTAACTTTGAATTTCAAGGCTTTCAAAATTTGGTGTTTCTTGTAAATTTAATCTTAATTTTTTTTTAATTTAAAAAATTATTGAAATTCAAAGTACTGATATATGTCTGAAATCTCATCACCACCACATAGGAGGGTTTTGTGTGGGAATAATATATTTAATTTATATTTGTTACATGTTAGTTTAAAGGAAAGGAGGGGGATCCTATCAGAATCTTAGCTGATGTCATCTACAAATTGTTTCCATGTATGTTGTCTTATAAGTCTAATGTTAGAGTCTCATTCAATTCATTTTCCATTTATATCACAATCTGTCCTTGAACAGTGGGTGGTATTTTCTGATTCCAGTCTGGAAGTATGCTTTTATTTTATTTATTATTGAGACATAAATTTAAGCACAGGACTCTTACTCAAATGTTCATTTTAGCTTTAAAGTATCACTCAGAACTCAGGGATAGCTCAGTGGTTTGAGCATTGGCCTGCTAAACCCAGGATTGTAAATTCAGTCCTTGAGGGAGCCATTTAGGGATCTGGGGCAAAAATCTGCCTGGGGATTAGTCCTGCTTTGAGCAGGGGGTTGGACTAGATGACCTTCTAAAGTCCCTTTCAACCCTGATATTCTACGATTCTATTCTATGAAATTGTAAGGAATTCATAGTTACATGGATATTTTAACAAGACGCAAATCACACTGTTTAGGATTAAGTATGAAAGCGTAACAGCTGTTAGAAATGTAAAATTTACATGGAAGATTATCACAATATGTTCTAGGAATTGACTGATTTATGTAAATTCTGGGAAAGAATTCTAAAAGAAATATAATCAATGACAGAATTGAAAGGAAGCTTCACTGCACAGAAGAAACCATGTAGTTATCGGCATTCCAAACCCTACTACTAATTCTGTTTCCTTTAGAATTCTCTCTTTATTAACCTGAATGTAGTTAGTACATTATAGTTCCTAATCATTCATGCAAGAGTTTGACTATAAAAAACATGTTTCTAAAACTCTTTGTAAACATGGATATAAGTTTGTCAGATAGATTTTCTTTATTCCTATTATGTCCTAGGTTTATTCGCTAGAATAAACTGATGTACAGTCCCATACCATACCTTCCATGAGAACTGTTTTATTGGATTGCTAGGTTTTATTTCCATAACTGGCTATAATTTATAGTAATTTAAAATACAGCAAAAGTAAATCACTTTTGTAACATTAGTAGTGAATACAATCACAGAAGTTCTGTTTCAGCAGCGTTCCCTGAATATGCTTATAGCAACTGCTAGCATGGCTGGCTTGCATAGGTCTTCTGACATATGAGGGCCTGGCCATAACTTCCTGTTACTCTGTGTAAATACACCTCGTAGAGGGGCAGAATAACTAGGCAGCATTGTGGTGCTGAAAGTTAATGAGCCTGCATTTAAACTTTGATTCCTGTTTACAGTAACATTTGTTAAAACATTCTCTCTCTTCTCATTTTTATCATTGAGGGAAAGAAGTTGTAGGGTCTCTCATATCCACAACCCATCACATACCCAGAGTTGGCATAAGGGGGTGGGGATATTCTCCCATTGCAACCCCATGTTGTAGAGGTGGGAGATAGGTTCCACCCTCACAACTGGAGGATGAGAGCATGCAGGCTAGCAGCTGCTGTCAACTACTGGCTTACTGAATCTACAGGGAAATTCTGTTCTAGCAACAGTCATCTTTCCTGCACTGTTCCCAAAGGGTTATGGTTGAGAGGGTCTAACTCTTAACATGTTCTTGTGGTGGATTATTACGGAGCCAAAGTTATCTTTAACTATACCATGTAATCTGAACTGTCAAAGATGGTCCTCTTCTCCCAAAACCACCTGTACACTTTCTTTTATATCACTTTATATATGGGAGGAAAACCTGTCATAATCTGCAGAGCCACCACCTTGTCCTCCAAGTACCTCTGTCACAAAAACTTAAAAAAGCACTACTAGCTGCTTATGGTAGGCAGATGATAGACTAAACTCACTGCCTACTGTGCAAAATATGCTCATTTTACTATTACCTTGTCCTCCCACTCTCTTCCTGCCTATCAGTTTGTTTCTTCTGTCTTAAACCTAGATTGTGAGCTTTTTGGGACAGGGACCATCTTTTTTTTAGTCATACAGAGCCTAGCACAAGAAGGACCTTACCTTTGACCGAGTTTCAATATGCTACTGTAATACCGATAATAAACTAAATTCATTTAATTTCTATATCAGTTATATTTTTATGTTTTCATTTCAATATGAATGTCTTTTTTTAATTATAAATTCTGTTTTGTTTTTTTATATGGGATTGGAGATGCCCATAACTTACTCTAAATTCTACCATTAATTTTTTGTAGTAGCTCTGAGTATTGAATGGATTTTTATAAATATAAATAATAAACAGAGCATTTAAATTTGATGTACAGCTTTTTGACAAGGAGCTAAATTTTGCCTCCATGAATGGCCCCACAATGAACACAACCCAATACATATGCTAAAAAAACAACATTATCATACACCCATTTTGGCCAGGAATGAATCCTGTCAGGAGATGGAACAGTCTGTGGAGAGTGAAGGGGGCCAATGCCAAGTCAATTGCATCTATTCAAAAAAATATGTAAATCATGTTCCAGAACAAACCACCACCATTTCTGGAGGACCTGTGTGTTTTGGGGGAGCATGTTAGCGATGTAAAACTTCTGCTATGCACTCCCCGCGCCGTGCACAGTATTCTGATTCATGCTCATGCACAGGGTCCTGACTGAACTTGCCCCAATTTATTACTTTGGATTTTGTCCAATTGACTATTTTGCCTAAGATATTTGCAAATGATAATGTTACCTTAATATTTTGAGACTGGTGTTACTGGTTCCTAGTATATCACCTAGATTTTCACATGAGAAAAAAGATACCATCTTGTAAAGCAGTGATAAAGTGTGCATATATTTGAAATATATACACAGAATATGAGATTAGGCTTGAGAGGAGTAAGTAAATATTTGTGCACAAGGAAGGATACATTTTCTTAAAGTTGAGGCCAACATTCACATATACGTGTACCCACTTTTGCCAAAGCAAATTGACTAACTGTGCCCACAAAAGGCACTTGCATGAGCAAATATCTTTTTGCATGCACCAATGGCTTAGTTGTATGTACGTGCATTTTTTGCATACAGACCTCTGCTGCCATATTTGGAAAATTTATCCTTAAATAGAAAATCATATAATTATTTCTATTTCATTTTTTAACTTCAGTAAACACACACCCATATAAATGTACAGCATATGGTACCTTAAAGAAGGCAGCCCCACTTGTCTTTGCCTTTGGAATTCTTTTACAAAGTCCTGGCTTATTTTTGCATCCCTGCTGATGTTATTCATTAGACGTGTGAACTGCTTGGGTTTGTTCCTGCATTCCACTAATAGATGGCGATAAGCAGTGCGGTTAAATGTTAAGTATCCAAGAGCACCAGCTGAGGCTATACGAACCTAGAAGAAACAGAAATGTTGTCCCTGATAATGGTTTGAGGCTGATTATAATTCTGATTTCAAAGATGTATTCTTCACATTAAATAAAGCAACTATATTATCAAAACAGAGCAAGGATGCTCACAGCTCCCAACCTGACAAAACCACCAAATGAGGATCAGAATAATAGTCAATAATTTAAAATAACAGAACCCCCCCCCCAGTAAAACGAAGATAAATTTGGGTCTACCACTGGTAGCCTGATGTACACTTCAGGCCTGATCCTACACCACAGGGAGTTTATCTATTGACTTAATGAGAGCAAGATTAAGCATTTTATAATGGGGCACACGTTGGAAAAGATGAATAGCCATGGGAAGATGAACAAAAGTATTTGGCTTTAATCCATGTTGATAAGTGTGCCTGATTAGGCAGTTTAGAAATAATAAAAAATTTAAATTACTATTAATTTTATTATTTTGGCTAATTCTTAATAATACTCCATCTATATTTACAATTCTATATTAAAAACAACTTTAAAAACAAGTAATAACAGACTTACAGCCATACAGTTATCTCAATGTATACAGTTACTGGACCTCCTGGTTTCAAATACAGATATCACCCCAGGGGTGAGGTGCCTCTAGGCATTTCTCCTGTAAGTATGGAACAATTCACCAGAATGCATGCAAGGTCAGGTACTGGTTCCCAACCAGATGCTGAACTCTCAAAGGTGGTGGGCAATCCCACAGAACCTCCGCAGGAGTCTTCCCATATGCCTTCCAGACCCACAGTTACTTACAAGCAGGGGCACCGGAACGGGGGGGGGGTGGGAGGGAGAGGGAGAGGCATGGCTTTTTACCAGCTGTAAGGGCGAGCGATAGGGGGTGAATGGGGGAGAGGAGCGAGTGGATGGAAAAGCCTCAAGGAGAAGGGGCGGCACAGGGGGGGCATGGTTCGGGAGTGGGTGCCCCCCCACACACACACTTTTAGGGAGCTTTCACCACTCCTGCTCACAAGTGAGGCCATCCTGTCGGGATGGAGAGCGCATCTGGGTTGGACAGCACATGGTGCCTAGAACTCCAGGAAAAGGAACCAGAGCATCAACCTATTGGAGCTTAGAGCCATCCAGCTAGCCCTACAGAGGTTGCAGAACTACTTAGAGGTAGAAAAATGTCCTGTGCAACACAACCAATGTGGCATCTCAACAACCAATGGGGAACAAGGAGCGTTACTATGCACAGAAGTAATGGAGATAATGGAATGGGTAGAGAGGACTCTCCCTTCCATAAGGCCAATATACATAAAAGGAGAGCTGAATCCAAAGGCAGACTGGCTCAGCAGACGCATAATCAAAAACTCAGAATGGTGCCTGAATCACTCTGATTTTGCAGAAATTCAGCCTTCTGAATCTGGATCTATTCACCAATCATAAAGACGCTAAGTGACTCTAGTACTTCGCCAGGGAAGCAGACCTCAGATCTTTGAGAACAGTTGCTTTTTTGCACATATGGCCACAAGGACTGTTTTATGCAATTCTGCCCTTTCCACTTCTAGGGAAGGTGATCCAGAAGATAAGGCGAGAAGAAGCAAAGATAGCTTCATGCTGGCCAAAGAGATCATGATTCTCCAATCTGATAGAACTGAAATTGGAACCACCAGTGCAGCTCTCAGTGAGACCAGACATCCTTTACCAAGGCCTATTTCTCCATCCACACCCAGATTAAAGCATTCTAACCAATGGACTGAGGACCTTCCAATGATTTGGAAGCAGCCAGAGACTTACACCAGCAGTTTATTCCATCTCTGCTACAAGCCTGAACCAAGAACTCTCCATTTATTGTATGTATTTGATTCCTTTAACCAATTTTAACTCTCACTTCTTTCTTTCTTTCTCTTTCTTTCCATGAATAAACCTTTAGTTTTTAGATACTAAAGGATTGGCATCAGCATGATTTTTGGGTAAGATATAACTTATATATTGATGTGGGTGTGTGGCTGGTCCTTTGGGATCAGAAGAACCTTTTAGTTGATGAGACTGGTTGTAAAGAACCACTCACCTTTCAATCCAGTGTTTTCAGTGGTAATACAAGGACTGAAATGACAGGGGAAACTGCTTTTATGACTTCTTGTTAGCCAGTGTGGTGAAACAGAAGTTTACTTTTGTTGCTGGTTTGGTATATCCTAAGGGGGATTAGCCATCAGTCTTGGGGTGTATCTGCCCTATTTCTCACCAGTTCATCCTGAATTTGGCATCCTCAATTGTGACCCTTTGAGGCACGGTTACCATTAGAAGCCTTAGCTGTGCAAGTGATCTTCCAAAGCAATTAGAACTCTTCTCCTCCAGGCAAGATTCAACACTAAAGGGCTGCTCCTCCATCTGGACTACGTTTAGCTCGTGGTGTGAAGAACATAATAAAAATCCCAAGGATCCTGATACCTCAGATATCCTGGACTTTCTTCAGGAAGGAGTAAACAATGGAATTCAGCCCAGCTCCATACCACATCAGGTGTCATCAATAAGTAGCCTCCTATTTTATGATCCTCTGGTTCCTTAAGACAACCCTCAAGAATCCAGATTTCTTAGAGCAATCAGACTGGCTAAACTTGTGGTTAAACCATTTGTTCCCAAATGGAACCTCCAATAGGAATTAAAAGTCCTAAGCCACACCCTTTTGAGCCATTGACATCAATATCTCTATTCTACCTATCCATCAAAATCTGTTTAATGGTCACCATCACGTCTGCTAGATGAGTTTTTGAACTGGTAGCTATATTCACATAGGAATCTCACTGTGTGTTCCAGGTGTGAAAAAGTTGGTGTGAAGAATACCAGAATCATTCTTGCCTAAGGTGAATTCATTTTCCCATTCCTCACAGGAGATACTCCTTCCTTCATTCTGTCCAAAGCCACAGCATCTGAGAAAAAGTATGGCACACTTTAGATGTTCAAAAAAGCACTAAAGAGCTGTAACATGTGCCCCAAATCAACAAGAAGCTAGGGCTCCTTGTTTGTATCCTTTCATCCAAAGAACC